TCAAGGCCTGGCTCTGAGTGGCGAAACCTCTTGGCAACTGCCCGAAGAAGTGACGGGGTCGGTGGCGGCACCTCATCAGAACACATTGGTTGGACCAGCCTCTTCACATATTCGCGGGCAGCGGGAACATTGATAGGGCTGGCAGTGAACATCGGCGCCCAGTGCTCCACCAGCTTGTCGTGCACGTGAATCTTGTCAGAAGTTGAGGACGCGCCAGTACCTGAATCTTTGATGCCTTGAAGAACCAGCCGACGAGAAAGATGCGACCAAATAGCTGCACGCCTCTCAAGAGCTTGAAGTTGGTGGCGGAGCTGAGGGGAAGACCGTCCACCTGCGAGCTCTGTTTCCAGGCGACGGCGGTGGAGGTCAGCATGGCGCACTTGCACTGCTTCGCTCCACTGCTGGAACGAGGGGGCATGAACAAGCAAGACGGTGCCCGACGAGACGTCCACGAAGTCACTGGCTGTCTGATGAGTAGCACGAAGGCGAACGGCTAGAGAAACATCATTGCGCCAAACCGCCCGAGAAATCTGCCTCGCTAGCAGAAGCTGGGAGCCCAGGGATTTGGAGTCGTGCCGCACCAGACGATCGCGAATCTCACGCGCAACCTCCTTCACTGCCCACTTGAAGAGTTCAATCTGCCTGGGAGGCGAGCGGGGCGTGAAATCTAGCTGGCGAGTAACGGTATCCAGCAAGTCCTGGAACGCTTTGGACTCGAAAATGTGCCTCGGGATCTTTCGGTACTCCTCGGGCTTTGAGGATCGCTGCGAGAAAGGACACGATTGGGCTGCATGGTCACTCACCTCCTTCTCGGCTAGGGCCTCGGGAAGCCCCAGTACGCGTGGAACGGCATGAATTTGGCATGCAATCCAACCAGGGAGACTGACCCAGGGCCTATCTATTGCAGAGACCGGGTGGGCGCTGGCGTCATAACGAGTAGGCTCGTCCGACGTGAACTCCATGATAGGTGCCAATAGCTCGGGCCATTTGGCGGCTTGACCATGCTGTCCTTTTCCTGGGCCCCCTCGGCGGCCCGGACGGTGGAGGAGAAGGGGAGGTGAAGCGGCAAAATTGAAGTCCCCATGTACTGCCACTGTGGCCGTCAACGGCGAACTTCTGGCAGAACTGGCATCAGCCCCGAGCGCCCTACCTACCTTCAGGAATTGGGCGCTACTGAGACCATGGTTGTGTACATTGTAGTGGAAGAGATGGTGCCCCTCGTACTGCAGATGAAGACGGAACACTCGACCTGGGACAAGTTCGTCAGCATGAACCACTGCAGGACAGGAGGCGGGCAAAACTGCGGCGACCCCGCCTTGCACTAGCGATTCCTCGCAGTGGGAAGAGAATATGCGCACACCACGATGAGCTTTCCCGATAAAGCCCCGTAGTTGCACAGCATCTTGATGCACCTCCCAAAGGCAAACCACCCCATTCAAAAAGTCCAACCGACGAAGGTAGTCCAGCTTCACCTTGGAGTGAGCACCCTGGTATTGAAGAAGCGCCCTCGCATTCCATGAAGTGAAGGAAACCAAACCGTGTCCACTATACTCACCTCGAAGTAACCTTCCCAGCCCACTAAAGACACCACTCAGCCGATTCCGGTGGTGCAACGATGGCAGCAGCAGCTGCGGATAACTGTTGCTTCGGCAGGCCAAGCTTCGCAATGAGGTTGTCGGCCCAGTTGAGCGCGGAGGGTGCGTTGCCAGGGTTAGGGCTGATCTTGAGAAGCGGGTCCCAGCCTGCCATGACATAGCCTCGGTCCTTGTCAACGTACCAGCGCTTGGGAGAATCGATCTCTTTGAAAGCGTCTCGAATTTTCCGAGCCTGCATCTCCATGCGAATATGCCGCGGATTCTTGTCGGGGCCGATGTGAAGAGCCGTGGACTGTCCGTCTGCTGCTGTGGTCCCGAAGCGCTTCCATTGGCCAGGCCCGAGGCGTCGGGCGCCAAGCACCTTGGCAACGCGACGAGCAGCGGGGGCGGGTGCACCAACGAAGTTGATGGAGAAGCTGCGGCTGACGGCTTCAGGGGAAGAGATCTTGAATACTTTAGGCTCAACACCAACCTCAGCGATCCAATCAGAGAGGGTCTGCTGTACCTGATCGAGGGCCGTGAGCTTAGCTGCGATGACTTTGATAACACGCGGGTCGGTGTCGCGATCAAAGCCAGCGGCGGAGAGCAGCGGGGCCCTGGAGACGTCGTTGGCGACGGCGAGGAGCTCGTGCAGCTTGCTGATCTCGGCCTTGAGGTGGGAAATGTCGGAGTCGTGGGTGTCCAGTCTGGTCTCATGGGCGCGCAGCCGAATATGCATCCCGTCGATATGTTCCTGAAGGCGGCGGTTCTGACCATCCAAGCGCCGAGCAGCAGCATCGTCAACCATCTTGGGGAGGTCCTTGACACCTTGGGCGGGCTCAGCAGCGGACTCGGCGTGCTTGGAGAACTGCTCTACGAAGGGGTTGATGGCCCCGTCCACTGTGGACTTGATGGAGTCCAGCATCGTCTGCTTGTACTCGCGGAGCAGCTTGGTGGCCTCCTCCTTCGCCAGGTACCGAGTGTACTCGTCAGGTCCAGTCTCCTCCCAGCCCCAATCTTCATTTTCATCTTCAGCATGAGCGTCATGAGCAGGGTCGCAATCAGCAGCGGCAGGAATATTATCTGCAGCGGGAGCAGCAGAAACACCAACGCCACCAGGAGGCGGAGGAGTGGCCCCTGAGGCGTCACTGTTGTCGCCATCGATGTCGTGCTTCCTCGGGCCCTTCTTCGGCTTCTTCGGCTTCTTGACGCCGACAGACGCCACAGGCATGCGGCGGCCCGCGCGCGGGGCGCCCCGATCACTGTGCCAGGAGGCTACGGATGGGTCCAGAGCTAACCTCAACACCTCGGTTCAACGAGCCTTCGTTACGTTTAGCCTTGAGCCAAAATGCCTACGGAGGAGGAGGATGAGGAGGAGGAGGAGGAGGAGGAGGAGGAGGAGGAGGAGGAGGGGGAGGAGGAGGAGGAGGAGGAGGAGGAGGAGGAGGACGAGGAGGACGAGGAGGAGGAGGAGGTCGCCAAGGGACCCCAGCTGAGGACCATCGGAGCATCACCCGCATGAGACAGAACGAGTCGAAGGGAGCGCGCGCGTCTGCGCACCGCAGGCCCTCCACGACGGGAGTCCTCGTGCACGGCGACCTGAACGCGCGCTGCGCGCGCCGCTGCCGCAACGTCCAGCAGCTCTTTGGGGAACGCCACGCTCTGTGGAGATTAGGCCATCTCAGGCGGCATCCTTTCCCAAGGGCCTGGAAATAGGGCCCGCACCGCGGCCTCCTCGCAAGCGGCGAACCCTTCGGGCAAAGAACCCAATGGGGCGCGGAACATGCCTACAAAAGCAGTGAACACTCGATACGCATCTAGGCACAGCAGCGAACCCAACCCGAGTTTCCCTCAGAGCTTCGCCATCTCCGAGAACTTTGTCAACGCTCCGTCCCACGTCCCAGACCCTCCGCCTGGCCCTATGACGAAGACCAGGTACTTCAAATAACTCTTAACCTCCAGCCCGGCCCAGTCTGGGGCAACGGCAGCCAAGTCCATGCGCGCCAGCGAAAGATCGAGACCAAAAAGCAAAGCGAGCACGGTGACAGTTGATGCTGATGGGCGTGTTATGTGTGCAAGCAGGCGCGGGATAAACAAGGTATGGGTGACGGTTGGACAGTGAGCTGCGATGACGCACTGCCTATCAGTCTTACTAGATATTGCAAAGCGACCTTACGAACCACGATACAAATAATAGTGTAGCTTTGAATGTGCATTTCTCGATGTGGCATGGTCTGCCAATGTCATTGTGTTTTCACAACCTATGCCAGTTGCAGCTGAGGTTGTATGTCCACCGCCGTGCCGCGAGGCTCGAAATGGAGGGACCTCAGGTCCATGAAGCCGTCCGTCCTGATCTGTATGAATATGAAATGGCACGGGCCCAAATTTTTCAGAATTCTTGAAGCTTTCCTCGTGCCACCGCGTTACTGTCAGGAGTCAAGAGGGCCCCCAAACGGGCCAAGAGGGCCCCCCAACGGGTCAAGAGGTTCACGAGACGGCCCAAGAGCGTTCCACAATATTATATCCAATGTGGCCTCAAGACGGCCCACGAGGTCCTTCCAAACGCCCCAAGCGAGCTTCGAAAGGCCCGCTCCTCAGAAGCAAGCAACGTCTGCGAAGTGAGAGCACTGCTTCGGAAAAACAAACAACAAAGAGAGACGAAAAGAAACGGGTCTAACGCAAAATGGGAGAGCGGTATTGCACGGTGGCCTATGCGGGCCGCCGGCGCGGCACGCTACAAGCGAACCGAGGGCGCTTACGCGCGACTTTACGCCGGCATCGTACACGGCAGCGTCGGTGAAGAGTCAAAGGGAAACCCGCGATGTCCGCGTCGCTCCAGTGGCACGCGTGCCCTGGCTCTTGCACGAGGAGGCCGCAGCCCAGAGGGAGAGGGGGTCGGGAGCAGGGAGGCCGGGGACGAACCACGAACAAACAAACGAACCACGAACCAACGAACGAAGGGACGAAACGCGAACGAGAACGACTGAACGAACGAACGAACGAACCGCGACCGAGGGGGGGGCAGGGTAGCGAGCGGCGAACTACGAACGAAGCGCGAGCTATAGCACACAGCTGTGCAAGATAATCACGCCCCCCCTCATCTTTCTCTCTCTCTCTCTCTGTCCTCCTCCTACCTCTCTATTTCAGTCCTCCTCCTCCTCTTCCTTTTCCTCATTCCCTCTGTCTCTCACTCTCTCTCTCTCTCTCTCCCTGTTCTTACCCTTCTCCATCTGTCCTTATTATCCTCCTTTCTGTCCTTTTCCTCTCCTCTCCTCTCCTCTCCTCGCCTCGCCTCGCCTCCCCTCGCCTCTCATCTCATCTCTCTTTCTCTCTCTCTCTCTCTCTCTGTCCATATCCTCCTCTCTCTCTCTCACTCTGTTCTGATCTTCCTCTCCCAGGAACCACTGGGCTGCGGGGAGCCGTCTCCTGAGTTCCGTGCGGAGCTGCCCGTTGCGCTGGAGCTCCTGCGGGGAACGAGAATGGGAGGAGGGAGGGGCAAGGAAACGAGAAATGGGGGCGAGGAAACGGGGAAACGTGGGGTGGGGTGGGGCGGGACAAGGGGGAGAGGAGGGGGGAGCAGGAGGAGGAGGAGGAGGAAGAGGAGGAGGAGGAGGAGGAGGAGGAGGAGGAGGTCGCCAAGGGGCCCCAGCTGAGGACCACAGCGCGAAGGGATGAACGCTTTCGGATGTATATCTTCTCCCTAACCCACGCAGCGGATGACTACAGCCGATGACCACAGCGCGAATGCCCACAGCGGTGCTGCCCCGCAGCATGCTGCAGATGAGCGCCAGGCCTGTGAAGAGCACAACACGGGGAGGAGGGAGGAGAAAGGAACAAGGAGGGGAAACGAGAGTGGGGGGAGGAGATGGGACACAGCAGACAGAAATTGAACGTGCAGTGGCTCGAGATAGGAAAGAAAGGCCCACCACGAAACGGGAGCGAGAAATAATCAACACCAGACTACACAATGGCACAGAGACGGATCACGACGCGGAGAGACTGGGGGAATAACGCACACCAGCTACATACTGATGACGTCTAGAAAGAAACATGCAAGGATAATACTAACGGCGGCAGTGGCGGCAGAAGGGAAGGAGGCAAGAGGAGAAAGGGCGCTCAGGAAGCCTTCGGGACACTACCGGGATGGTACAAGTTCGAGCTAGCCAACGTGGTGCTGCACAGCGTCACGATGATCTTCTGCAATATGGACAGCAGCATCGGCGTCCCGGCGGTGTCATCTCAATACGTTGGCGGGCCAAAGCTCGTGGCATTTCGTTGCTGCAAGACCCTGTTGAATGGTTCCAGTGGTTCGTCGGCCTCGCGGAACCCAGAAGGACTGCCAGAGCGATGTGGCATTAGCAGCGTGGACTTCTCCTGTTCTCCGCCGGCCTGCGCTGTCGAACAGCATGGGCAAAAAAATGGCGCGCAGGATGGAACCAAAGAAACATAATAATAATAATAACAACAATAATAACAATACTAATAATAACAATAATAATGATACGAATAATACGAATAATAAGAATAATGTGAATAATACTAAAAATAATAATAATAAAAAAACTAATAATAATACTAATAATAATGATAATAATAATAATAATACTAATACTAATACTAATAATAATATTAATGCGAATAATCCGCCGATCCGGCGTGTGAGCCACAAGGAGCCCCAGCAAAAGCTTCAGCTCTGAGCCTAAGCAAGAGCTTCAGCTCTGCTTGGGGGGGTCGCCGGGGTGGCTCTGCCATGGAAGGGAGGAAGGGGGGAGGGGGGGGGCTCCATCCAGCGTTTTCTTCATGATTTGCGCATCCCCCAGATGTTTCGGGGGGTCCCAGGGTCGCCGGGGTGGCTCTGCCGGGGAGGCGGGGGAGGGGGGGGGGACCTCCATCCTGGCAATTTCTGCATGATTTGCGCATCCCCTAAATGTTTCGGGGGGTCCTGCGGTCGCCGGGGTGGCTCTGCCGGGGAAGGGGGGGGGGCCTCCATCTGGCGTTTTTGCATGATTTGCGCATCCCCTAACTGTTTCGGGGGGGCTCGCGGTCGCCGGGGTGCCTCTGCCGGGGAAGCGGGGGACGGGGGGGGGTCCTCCATCTGGCGTTTTTGCATGATTTGCGCATGTTTCGGGGGGTCCCAGAGTCGCCTGGGTGGCTCTGCCGGGTAAGCGGGGGAGGGGGGGGGGGCTCCATCCAGCGTTTTCTTCATGATTTGCGCATCCCCTAACTGTTCCAGGGGGGCCCGCGGTCGCCGGGGTGGCTCTGCCGGGGAAGCGGGGGAGGGAGGAGGCCACGGAGCCGAGAAGATCACTAAATCCGCAGACCCCCGGATCGTCGGCACTGGCCGGAGGCCACTACAATAATACGAATAGCATCAACAAGAACAGCAACAACAACAACAACAACAACAACAACAACAACAACAACAAGTATATTAATAGCATGAGGACACGATGGACAAAATGACAATGCTGCCGTCAACGATGGCGACGCCCTGGGCCAACTACGGACGGCCGGCCATGACATAAGCGAATGCTTGAACTCCTTCGTGCGCGCGCTGAAATGATATATTGTCCACGTGGTCGTGTGCTGGATGGCCGTGTCGCAACATGCACTGCGAGGTATACAACGCGCACAAGACTGCTGCGCGCACCCGGCGGTCGCGTTGTGTACACCCTCCGAGCGCTGAAAGAACAAGGAACCTGTCGTTCGGGCTAACATCCAGAAGACGCAGCTGTTGGCACGTGAACTTGCGGAAGTCCAAACAATGCGCATAGTGCTCGATGCTGCCCACGCCCTAGCCACACTGGAGAAGGCAAGCGGCCGGCCGCCGCGTTGTAGCCCAACCCCTGCACAAGGTGCGGAGCGCTGCAGCGAAGATGCGCGGGGCCGTTGTGTTAAGACAGGTCCTGGAAGACGTCCACGGCCCGATGAACGCGGCGGCCGGGAAGCCAGGCTTCCTTCATTTGTCATGTTCTTCGGTTGGAAAAAGATTCCTGGATACGCCAGGCGGTTCACCGCACTTCCTGACATGATTCTCGAGGGTCAAGTGGTTGCCGATGGGCGGGTGGCTCTGGCCTCGAGCCTCGGGCTCCCGCTGGAAGTCTGACATCGCCAGCGCCTCGCCGCTCCCCTCGTTTCTACCCCCCCTCCCCAACGGTCGCCCGATCCTCGCCCACTCCACTGCTTTTTCTCGGGGAACAAAGAACGGAGAATCGAAGATGAAAATGGAATCGGGTCAGGGCAATCCGGGGATCTCTGCGAACCGGTGGAACAGGAAGGGGTGCCAAACGCCGCGTCCGTTCCAGAGCGTTCGGGAACGCTGCTACAGCGTCCCGCAACGCTTTGGAACAATGCTTCCTCATGCCGCTGCAGGCCTCCCAAGAAGATCCCCGATACCGCCGCCGCCGCCACTCCCCGGACTCGCCCGTGGCGCCCTCGGACCAAGATCCTGCCGCGAAGCCAGCAGCGACGCGGGCGCCGCATGGGGCCTATGAGTGGCAAAGCGAGCAGCGGCATCGGTACATATGTCCCGTCTCCTCGCTCACCCTCCCTCCTCCCCCTTCCCGCTGGAGGTATGCGTTCGGCAAGTGCAGGTGCGGGACGTCTTGGCGGGCGGTCGCTGGGGACTCTGGCGGTGGCCACGAAGCAGGCCCATAAGGACCAAACAAGAATGCTCGAACCTCGGGATGTCTCGCCCCCTTTTTGTGTTTTCAGATTTTCTGATGGGAGGGGGGAAAAGAATCCTCCCTCCTCCCTCGTCCGAACGGAGTCCGGCCCGCAGCAGGACAGGACCGGCAGGAGGAGGACAACGGGCGGGGAGGGCGGAAAACGTGCAGACTGTTGCACCACCTGCATGGATGCGAGCCCGAACAGGAGGTCCGACGAAGGAGGTGTTGAATCTCCAAATGGAGGAGCACCTGCAGAGGAACGGAAGCCCCACCATTGCCCGAGTCGAACCCGCCGTCCGCCGCCACCGACCACGGAGCCTTGCTCCGCTTCACTAGAGCACCGCGCTGAAGAGGCGGCATATGGCGGGCGGGGGGGATGGGGCGACGACGGGCGACCAAGGGGTGGGCGGGAACAAACATTCAATGGTGTTACCACCTGTCTTCGGGTGCCTCCCGCCTTCCAGCCGACAGACCGTCATCCTCTGGCTGGCCCTGGTGGAAGCATTATCAGCAGACCCTTTGTATCGAGCGTCAATCTTATCAACTGAGCCAGCGGTGCCATCCCCAACGCACTCCCGTCGACAGAAGTGTTCGCCGCAGCTGAAAACGGCGTGCCCGAAGGCATCACACTCAGCAGAGGACTCGAGTGTCTGGGCCTCGGGGGTGGGGGGCCCCTGGACCTTTTCGCCCCCCTTGGTCGCTTCCTGGGCGAGCCGCTCAGCGACCTGCGCAGCAACGTTCACAGCATCACTTCGTTACAGCTTGAAAAAACTGCCATGTGCCTGCAACCGAGTGTCGCTGGCCAGTCTCCGGACAGGCGAGGGAAATCAATTCCTGGTAGACGTCTGCGCGCGCATGGCCCTGAATGATCCAGCTGCGCGGGCCCATTGGCCGCAATCGCGGCACCTCAATTCGTTCCTGTCAACGCCGCGCCAAACGGCGCGGCTGGTGACCGACGGGAGTCGATGGGGGCCAAAGGGAAACGGAACAATCCTCGCGGCCACCAGTACGAATTCTGACTTTGCTGCATACGTTGCGCAGCCCCAGCAAGAAACCCGAGCGTCGTTTTGCGACAGAAAGCTCTCCGGCCAAAGCCTGAGCAAATCGCCCCAAGAAAGCGCGGGGCGCCGAGCCCAACTGCTCGACATAACTCAGACCCGAAAGTGCCCGCCCAGAACTCCCAGGAGACGCCATGGGAAATGGCGCCCTGGGCAGAATCGTGGTGGCGGTGGTGGTGGGTGGGTGGGTGGGTGGGGTGGGGTGGGGTGGGGTGGGGGGGGGGGGGCAAAACTAGGGGTGGATGGGGCCCGCTGTTGCTGCCGCAGAAGTATGTCGGCCTCGATCGGCGCGCGCGCGTGGCAGCGCCTAGGACATAAACCCTCGTCCCAGCAATTCCCCTCGCGCGCCGTGGCCTGCAGGCAAGACGCGATGGCGCGGATGCGCGGTGGCTGCCGCGCAGCTCGCCTCGCGGCCCAACGCTCCGCGCGGCCGATGGTTTGGCGGCCCTGGGGCAAAGCGAGATGGGCGGCGCGAGCAGGGGGCAGCGCGGCCATCTGGGCGGCGGCCCGCCCTGCCCCCGAGACCTCGGAGGCGCCAGATTGGAGGCAACGCCCGTCAGCCAGAATGTCAGGCCCCCGAGTTGCCCGAGGCATCGCCCGGCTCGCGGACCTCAGGTCGGGCCCCGGGGGGCCGCGCGTCGCCCGCCAGCGCGGGGCGGGGGCTCCAGCAGTTTAACACGTGGCGGCTGGTCAGTCCTGTCGAAGGCGGAGCTCCCGAGGGCCTCGCGGCGGCGAAGT